TGTATATGTAGAATTTATTAAGTTTTTATTGACGTTAATGTGTTGCCGGTCGCTTTAAGAGATGGAATACTAGAATAGGTCTTATTTTACAAATAGGAAAACTAATTACATACATTTGGTTTACACTGGGTTTACTCGAGTAAATATTTAGATGAACTTAGTAGATGTGTAGACAACATTTCATTTGTGTAAAACCTAACATTCTATATTCATTAAGTAATATGAAATGTTACATAGCCAAATATTATATTATCTGAGAAAGCATACAAAACATAATTATAACGAACAAAGGAAAAATTGTATCATTCAAAGCAATGGAAAACTGCATTAATTTAGGTTAGATGTTTTTTTGTCTGCGTCAAAAGATTTTCTCATAAGTTATGTGAAATTAATTTTAGGCAATTAACTTAAATCAAAATAAAACGAGTAAAAATATATGTACTTTATAATAACCAGAGACCAAATGAACCAAATTGCACTTTGATGCAATTTGGTTTATTTAGTCTCTGGTTATTATAAAGTACATATATTGAGATATCTTTGATGCAATTTGGTTCATTTAGTCTCTGATTATTATAAAGTACATACTTTGATGCAATTTGGTTCATTTAGTATCTGGTTATTATAAAGTACATACTTTGATTATTATAAAGTACATATATTGAGATATTTATAAGTCCACAGAATTACTACTGAAACACTGGAGGGCATTTTTAGAAATAATATAATTAAACTGAGCTTGATATGTCTTTGTTTGAGGTCATTGTTGCTCCACAATGCATATAAAACACGACAAGGTGTTTGTTTATTTATTTTTAGAGCAAAATATGCTGTGTCCACGGAGGAGAACTTAAACCCGGATTTTAGCGTTGTAAGTCCGTAGACATACCGCTGTCCCACCTGGAGACAACACGAAGAGGATTCTGCTGTTCTTGAAGCATGCTATAGGACATAAATAGCCCTCAAAATATAATTGCAGTAAAAAAGTGTACTTATGATATATTATATTGAGATATCTTTGATGCAAGTATAGTTCATTTAGGCACTGGTTATTATAAAGTACATACTTTGATGCAATTTGGCTCATTTGGTCTCTGGTTATTTATAGTACATATATTGAGATATCTTTGATGCAGTTTGGTTCATTTAGTCTCTCCAATGATGTGCCCATCACTAGTATCGATACCTATTTTTAGCGGATAGCCCATTATGTAACTTTGTGCTTAACAACAACAAAAAAAAGAAGTAAACTTTATAAAAATTACAGGTAAATTCTAAACGTAGCGTGTATAATAATTTCCTTTAAACATTGGAAACAGAAAGAGTTCCATGACAACATTAAAATGATTTAAGCTATCTTTATCGTTTATGAAATAATTAACATCATAATATGAAAAAAAGGGTTAGAAAATATGTTAACTTTTGCAATTAATTCGTTTTTGGTACGCTGTTTACCTTTTAATCATTTCGTAAAATATAGGAACTTTCAACCATTCGGTTGTTTACTTGCTTCGGAAATTTGCAAAGTTACACAAGAATGCGATAGTCTTCCCTAATTTTGAACTGACAGACAAGAGGGAAGGTAGTTAATCAGCAACACCCACCTTCTTTTTTCGGGGATATTCAAATCGTATACTTGGATTTGACCTTCACTCCTATAGCAAACCCACGGCACTAATGTGCGGAACGCGTTTTAGCAACATTGAAGAGCGAGCCATTAGCTTACTGATTTGCATTCCGAACATGCTAACCAATATATCAAGCCTGCCCAAGTTCTAACACATAAAAAAATCTAGAATTAAAAATTCAATTCCAACAAGTACGGCAATAATTTAATTCCAGGATTCACCAGAAAATTGGCAATTCTCAAAAGCCCTGGCTTTCCATCCTACTAATCAATTAACTAAACCCTGAGAATTTTAACATTCGATACACACTAGCCTAGTTAGTTAAGCCTACAAGTATTGATGGAATCCATAATTTACATTAGCTATCTAAATTAATTTTTCAGAACTTCTCACGTCTCAAACTGTTTTCTGGCTCACGACATTGTAAATTACGGGCCCTCAGCAACAAATGAATTATATATAAAAATTTAAACAAAAACACTAGCACTATTGTAATTAATCCTATTAGTTGATGCTTCGACTCTCTGTGTAGTTCACATATAAAGTGGGTGATTTCTTCAAGTAATTTAGTTGATAAATTATTTACAGTGAATGCTGTAACAGGCATAGACATAAAGGTTCTAAATATGGCGCAGTCAATGGACCGCACTAGTATTGAACAGTATTAAAAACAAGCCGCTGCTTTGAGAGTTAAAGCACTTACAATATAATCAACCTCGCGGTTCCTAATCCGAACTTTTTCTGGTTCTCATTTCTTCAAAAACTTGGTCCGACGCGTTCGATACGTGACAGTAAAGGATGTAAGTGCCAATTTTGGCATGAATTGTACACTTCTGGTTATAAGTATGTTATTTGGCATATAACGATTTTGAATGATGCTCTATCATTTAAGAGGAAGACACATATTTTCTGGCTACTGAAAAACCAGGGAAACGGGGTGTTGCTATGGCAACCTTTTTTTAACTAAAAAACAACAACATAGTATGTGACAACAATGTTGTGTATAGTCAAAAATGGTCCATGTTTAGTGTGTAGATCTTCTATATGGAGAATTAGATTTTTTATACTGCAGATACCTCCAAAGTAACTTTCCCTCTACTTTAGCCATTGCTATGGTAACAGTGCTCCATTAAAACACACCATAACAACGACTTGAATTAAATCAGCATTTATTGTGATAAGAAATAGTTAAATGTTTGGGAGAAAAAATTTTCTTCTTACGAAATGAAGACTGAATGTTACAAATTAATGTATGTTCCCTTCCTCCTAAAAATATATTTTATTCCTTCTTGATGGTCATAATGTGTCATCAGAAACATTTACATAATTATATCAGACGAAAGGCTGCATTTATTGAATATGTAAAAAAATCGTTGTGCATTTTTAAATTATTAAATTGCATTCAAATGTAATAAAATCTGACCTCTTAAATTAGAATCAAATAACTATTTGCAAAACAAGTTGATATTGAATTTTTGCAACGTTTTTTCTAACTGCATCGATGTTGGATGGTGATACGTCTGATGCTTGCTGTAGGATTACTACATTTTTCAAGGACTGCCTGTGAAGAAGTATGTAAATATCTTTATAGATTCTAATTCTCACTCTTTATTTGATAATACAAGGTATGAAACCGACTGGATTGATTTGTATGCATAATGAATGGTTGTTAGATTTGATGTTGCATCATTTCAATTACGTGTATACTTTGATTGCAGTAAAAATGTCAAATGAAAAACATGGGTTGTACGATGGATCAAAACCCAATTCAAGCCTAGAAGCAGAAACAACAGGTCATAGTACCAAGTGAGACATTTGTATTCTATGTCAGAAAGATACAAGTGAAAAATCTCGTAAACCCGTGCAAATATTTCAAACTGAACTCATCAAAATCTAGATTAGGGGTATTCTACTGATGCTAAAACCTCACAAAGTTTGTCACAATTGGTCGTGTTTCCACTGAATATCAAACTTGACAAGCTGAAAGTTGAGTTTGGAATAGAAGAAACTCTATTCACTCACAATGCACAGTAGCGCAAAACGTGTTTCTCATAAATAGATAACCAGAAAACTCTACCTCGGGATGAAAAGGCACGCAGAGAATTGTTTCGTTACTTCTCCAAGAAAAAAATGCAAATTCACCAAGTCAATTTTATAATGCATTGACTTAATAGTTATGCAAAGCCAGTTGTATTGAATCATAGAAATATTAATTCATCAAAGTCTAAACACGTTATTACTATTGTAGTCTTTTTTAATGTGAGGGACAAGTACAATATATAGATAGGGCTGATATCCAGCGTGTCGTAACAAAATATTTATGTATGGTAAGTGGTTTTTGAAATTATTTATTTATTTGTTTTGAATTTCGCTACACGAGGGCTATCTGCGCTAGTCATCCCTAATTTGGAAGTTATAAGCTAAAGGGAAAGCAGCTAGTCGTCACCACCCACAGCCAACTCTTGGGCTACACTTTTAACAATGAATAGTGGGATTGACCGTCACATTATAACGCCCCCACGACTGAAAGGGCAAGCAAGTTTGGTGGTACGGGTATTCTAACCCGCGACCATCAGATTGCGAGTCGAGCGCCCTAACCATGCCGGGCCATTTATGAAATTACCATAATAGATTGTTTAACTTAACTGCCAAGAACTGATACATTGTAACTCAAAGCATTAAAAAGAACTGTTTATACCGCTTTTGTGTCTTGGCTTACTTTTATAAGATGGTTATTAATAAAAATTATATTTTAGTATACATATTCTAAATATTGATATAACAGTGAGGCCGTTGCTATGCAGCCTGTTATCAGCCATTGAGTAACTATGGTAACCATCAAACAAACAAAATATTTGTCTAAGACTGTTTGAATTGACAAAATTACAATGTCCGAATATCCCTATGTACCTAAATAGAGCCTTATCTGACCACGTGCAGTAATATTTTCTCATACTAGAATCCTTATGGTAGCGGGTGCTGCTGATTGTATGACTTTCTTCTGGTCAGTAGCGCAAAATACTGGACGACTATGTCTGAATCCTTGGGGCTTTTAATCTTGTTTTAGCCCACGTGCGCATAAAGGACCGTTCAGGTTGAAAGTTTTAATTTCCAAAAATTAAAAGTTCAGCTTACTCCATAGATATTTTATTTACCCATAAAATCTTCCTCTTCATCTTCTTCTCTCTTCTCACTCAAAACGTAACTATACATTTTTTTGTTGCCCACCAGAAGGTTACAAATACAATATTTTCCTCGTTCCTAACTCTATACACACATAGATATATTATAGTAACTGACTAAGTGTGACGTTTTTTTACATGTCTGTATAGTTTTTCATTCAAAAATATTTACTTTATTTTGCCTCTTTAGCTGCCAGAGAACCTATAAGGTTACCTGTGATGGTCTATATACATGGAGAATCCTATTTCTGGAACTCTGGGAATCCTTACGACGGAAGTGTCTTGGCCAGCTATGGTAACGTAGTTGTGGTTACCGTTAATTTCAGATTAGGAATATTAGGTAAGCCAAATCAAATGACGTTAAACGAAATCGTAAAAAAAAAAACATTCGTTAATATTAATAACCGATTAAAAGTCAGATTCGATATAACCTTTTCTTTGCTTATTAGAACTATTTTTAGATTTCTAAGGTCTAGCACTTTAGTTTAGTATGACCTTGATTCTACAAAATGTTGAAAATGTGGTGTAATTTATGCTGACGAAAGAGAAAGATATTGAAAATACAAAATAAAATAAATAAAAATAAAACCCTAAAATACAAAATTCCCCATGTGGTCACATTCTTAGATGTAGCCGATAGTGACTATAATGACCGGTGTGACTAGAAACGACAGTTCTCAACTGTTATTGTATACTCTTTGTTATCCAAAATGAGCTAATGATTTTTAATATTAAAGATGTTCAAACAAAATATCAAAAATTATTCTATACTTCTATTTTTACACAAAGGGTATAAATCTGATCAATATCAACAAACCATATGACACTAAAAAAAGGTAGTAAAGATCGGTGACTAAACCTGATCAATATCAACAAACCATAGGACACTAAAAAAAGGGTAGTAAAGATCGGTGACAACTAATAAGCAACAACATACGATGGACGAAGTAAACTTATAGGATACTAAAAACCCGTTAAATAATACTCTAGAAGAGTTAAGACTCTCGAGTACTAACAAGCTACTGGACACTAAATAAGTAGTAAGACTAGCGAATACTAACAATCCATAAGGTACTATGAAAGAAGAACTGTGAACACTAAAGAGCCATTAGACAATATAAAAGACGTAAGACTGGCGAATACTAATAATCTATTAAACCCTATAAATAATTATGTAAGATTAGAATACCTAATATGTTAACTAAACTTTAGGGTGTTGAAATATTTTCAAATCCAAAGAAGAAGAAGAAACTAGAAAGAACTATATACTTAAAGGTTATAATTTTATATAGTAATTATAATTTATTAGTATTATTAAAGTGGTTATAATTGTGAAATATCTCACAATGGAATATGAAAAAATCCATGAAATATTTTTTATGTAGTTCTGAAAAATGTGGGAAGTGAAACCAATATAGAAGTTCGATCGATGGGAGTAAATTTCATCACTCATTATGACTAACTCAGAGATATAAAACGGATATCTATTACGAGTCTCTAGTGAAAGTTAGTAAACATGAATATGTTTATTTTTTTCTCTCTTTTTACTTCATGACTGAAGTGTTATGGTCGCCTCTAGATGTAAAAATATTGAAGTAGAATTTGTCACCGATCCACTCACTATCGATAAGATTTTTATAAGTACACAATGAATCTTCTTTTGGGCATATGGTAGTGGTAATAAATACGGAAACGACGAGGAAATCGTGTGTGAAAGGCATATAATACAGAAGTGCCACTCCTCTATCTTGTGAAAATTAGCAGTACAGTTGCGTGTTGATAGTGTACTCTATGAATGTTTATAATTCAACCAATCGGAAAGTGTCGCACCAGTATACTGCCTATAAAGGTACAACCAGTTATATTATGTCCAGTAGTAGTAGTGTGATCCACACATGCCTTCCATGACTCAAATGGCGCACATTACACGTGGTCAAGGATACTCCGTGCGAAATATTGTAGCAAGACTATGTTTCACGAGGGCTATCTGCGTTATCCGTCCCTGATTTAGCAGTGAAAGGCTAGAGGAAAAGCAGTTAGTCATCACCACCCACCGCCAACTCTTGGGTTACTCTTTTACCAACAAATAGTGGTATTGAGCGTCACATTATAACGCTCCCACGGCTGAAAGGGTGAGTATGTTTGGTGGAACAGGGATTCGAACCAGCGACCCTCAGATTGCAAGTCGAGCGCCCTAACCACCTGCCTATTTAATTACTTTAATCATTAACATTCTATTTCCTGTCCTTTCCGTTCTTTATGTAATTCAGACATTAACATCGTATTTTTTTAGATCAATTTCTTGGTGACCAAGGTTATTATGGTGTACAGATTACCATAAATCCCTTTTTTTCTCATCATCGTTAATTCACTCACATATGTTTCAAAACCTAAATATATATTTAAGTATATGTTTTATTGTTTTGTTTATTGATTACATTGTTGCATTGAGAATAAAAGTGTTTTAGTCTACGTAGTTCATCTTGTTTCACAATTAAATATATCCGTTTATCGAATTTGTTTCAATAATCTAATAATATGAAAGATTTTTCTTATTTTTGGATATTACAATAACTTATTTAATTACTAAATATTGATTGATTAATAGAAATACGCATTGGTTAATAAATGGATAATATCATAGAATTGTCCTACTTTCATTGAATTTGCCATTTAATTATTTCAGAACTTTGTCTCATAATTTCGATGCGAAATTAAACAAAGGGCTATGTATATAGGCAAAACAGTCACTATTGTTTTAACTTATAAATTAGAAGGAAGTTAACAATATACGAATCTAACGCTTGTGCTATCTCTTGTTTAACCGAATAGTGGGATTTAGTTGTCACTCTTTTAGTACACCCACGATACCAAAAAACAAGATGCTTTTATTGCGGTTACTGGCCATAAACCTTGAACCCTCTGATCACAGTCCAAGCACCCTTTAACCTCTAGGCTTGTCATTTAGTGAAACATCTTAATAACATCAAATATTATTTTGTTTTCGGGTACCATAATCATTTCGTTTAATCCTCCTACACATCGACGGGATTTATAGAGAGATAAATTGGTGGGGTTAGAGATAATAATATTATCAAATATTATTTTATTTTTGGGTACCATAATCATTTCGTTTAATCCTCCTACACATCGACGGGATTTATAGAAAGATAAATTGGTGGTGCTAGAGATAATAATAATATCAAATATTATTTTATTTTTGGGTACCATAATCATTTCGTTTAATCCTCCTACACATCGACGGGATTTATAGAGAGATAAATTGGTGGGGTTAGAGATTATAATGATATCAAATATTATTTTGATTTTCGGGTACCATAATCATTTCATTTAATCCTCCTACACATCGACGGGATTTATAGAATGATAAATTGGTGGTGAAGTGAAAATATTTCGTAAAATCACAAATGTTCTGATTTGAAGGTATGACTCAAATACTAGATTAACTCCAAATGGTCACTAAAGAGAAATGGTTATTCGTCTTTAGGTTTCTTCCCGTCAACAGAGGGCTCTGCACGGGGAAACTATGGCCTCATGGACCAAGTTGCAGCTTTACATTGGATACAAGAAAACATTGATGGGTTTGGTGGAGATCGTCATAGTGTGACAATATTTGGTCATGGCCAAGGAGCTGCTTGTGCTAATATCTTGATGATAACTCCCATGGCGAAAGGTATGTCTGATTTTTACATTTAACCTTTACCATCGTTGTTTTCACTGTTAACCACATTGTTGGTGTGAACCTTCTTTGTAGTCACTATGAAAAAAACCTATACACTGGATAGGTGAAGGGAAGAAAAAGTGACATTGGCCACTATTCAGTTCCTCACATTATATAGCTGCACAATAGCAGGTATGATAAATAAACTTAGTATTCCCAAAAACTGTTTACTCTCGAAAGCACGTTCACACCAACAATATGGATGATACTTTTCACTATGATATAGGTCCAGCTTATCTCTCTTTGGTTAACTTTTGTTCATGGTTATTGATGAGAAGTGGAATTATCAGAAACTAGTATAACCCAATAACACACGTTGATGAAAATGTAGATTGAACTGGACCTCTCTTGAACTTAGACTTCGAAATTAAACAATTCTCGGAATAAAAAATTTATTTGATATTCTTTTCGTTGTTATTGTTCTAAGGTACGATCATAAATATAAACAGAAATGAAAAGTTTTCGTTTTAAAAGAAGAAACTGTTAGGTAACAGTTGACCGAATCCTCATATTCTACTTTCTTCTCTTTGATTTACCATACTATAAAAATAGGCTTTTTCTGAGGTTGACAAACATCTGTGAACAAAAATTAGAACAAATACTAAAACACTAGGTTTAAAATGATATTTTATTTTTCTTATTAAATCTTCTTATCAAAATGTGCTGTCCAGTGTATACAAGGTTAAGTGTCATTCTGGGCTATTGACGCTCTTTTCATCCAGCTTTAACATAATTGACTTGGCGTTACTATGGTTAACTACTAGAGTAGGTAAGTTTGAATAGATATGTTGGATCCTAAAACATGGCTAACTACCGTGTTTCGCATCACATTTACAATCTAGAGGTGTTTAAAGATTAAAAATCTTATATACAATGCGAAGCGTGGTGTCTGTCCGAGCATTCGCTGCCTCCCGTTTGAAAAGCTGCGCACACAGGCAATGCTCAACATTCACTTTTGAAATGACAGGAGATCAGGCATGAATAATGTTGACGCCAAATTTTATTTCGCAAGCAGGATATTCTACACTAAATGGTTAGGAATTAATCACACTATCATTCACATTTCAAAATTTGACGTAACTTAAAGAATAAAAATGTTTTTATTGTTGAACGGCCTTTAGTATGACTGGAATGCTCAACAATTACTTTTCGCGGTGGGCGGTGTAAGTAGCTCAGAGCTTTGGCTCTGAGTGAAACCAAGAGAGCAACACAATTAACCTCTTTAAAACCCATGAAATAATTTAAATTGATAGATTAACTTAAACTTTCCCGTCTCTGGGGACGGGTACTTTTGATTGTGAGTAAATATGATGGACCTTAAAACTTGGTAAACTACCAGGTTTTACAACACATTCACAATCTAGAGATATTTAAAGATTTGATATGAGTAGAAATGTTGGATCCTATAATATGGTAAACGTGACATGAACTACCTTGTTTCGTATCACATTTACAGTCTAGAGGTCTTCAAAGATTTATTTTTAAGACTAAATGTGCTTACCTTAAAACAAAAAAAATAGTAATTATATATACAAGATTAGTAGAACTTGTTAATTTAAAAAATGGGGATTAGGGATCGTCAATAAAGTACAGAAACAAGTTAAATCAAAATGCAAAGATTATATTTTCAAGCCTGCAACTAGGGACTCTAAAAAGTAAACAAACAAGCCTGGAAATGGCGTCTACATTATTTTCTCAAGCTATAAATCTCTATTTTGACTCCATGTCTAGAGTACTTATTAATTTTAGTGGAGTCAAAATAGGAATATATAAATTGAGAAAATAATGTAGACACTATTTCCAGCCTTGTTTGTTTAATTTTGCTAAAGTCCCTAGTTGTAAGCTTGAAAGTATAATATTTACATTTTGGTTGAACTTTCTGTACTTTTCGGACAATCCATATTTCCCCTTTTTAAATTAACAATTTTTACTGATCTTGTTTCTTAAGTTTTTGATATCCATTTATGGAGAATAAATTTTAAGCTACATACTTGCATAACCAACTACCACACTGAACATATTTAAAATAAATAACAAATGTACAACAAAGAATAAACACATGTACTGGTATGCAACTACAACAAACAAAATGTAAAGTTGCTTTCAAAGGACCATCTTAAAGCAAAGATTGCATCATCGTACATTGAATGACCGGTTCCCATCAATGTCACAGTGTAATGTAACAAAAGACGAGCAGCAACAAAGCAATCTCATCAGAATGGAATAATGTTACTTCTAAGTTAATACAACACAGATTAATACAATGTAAACAGACGCAATAAAATGCTTACCTTGTAAGTCTATTGTATGTTCTTCAACAGTCTGCTGTGCACAAGTGTTTGCTAGAATAAGTTGACACAAATAATGCATGCAAAACAGACAACAGCAACACACTTTGCGTAAGTCGCCAATTATCGCCATCATTTACAACCACTACCGTAAGACCAACTATTTCAAAATAGTAATAGCAATATGAAATAGTGCTATATGCAATGGTAATAAATACCGAATACGCACTCACAATTCCAGCTAAGTATAAGAAACTGTAGAAATAATCGAAATCGTCATCTGAGTAGGGAAATATACTATGGTAATCGTCCAGTGTTAAAAACGTGCTGAAATATAGTCGCAGAAATCCACGTAGAGACAGCAAACTCGAGTAACGATTCGAATAACAATATGCAACAGCAAAATCGGAAACATTTCACATAGCAGTTTCCATGCACGAGTTGTAGTTTCCAACTAACGCGCACGCTAGGAAAACACCGTATTTGTTTATGGTGTAAAGTGAAGAACTTAGTACATTTCGCAACACGACAAAATTAAGGAGGTCGAATTAGGTTTAAAACTGCTTTCTCGTTATTTTTCTGTTGTTGTTTTTTTTCAAAATTCCTGTGCAATCCCACACTACAGTAGGTATCACTTTCAATAATTCTATAGTGGATTCATAACAGGGATTTGTAGCTTGAGCAAACTGTCAGCAGTAGATCTCCAGCCTTGTATGCTTACTTTTTGCTATCCCTATTTGTAGATTTTCAATTCTTAGTTTTTAATTATCTTGTATGTTGGCTTTTTAATGCAAAGCAATGGGCATATATATGCCTAGAGAAGGACACAACCCTCACTAAGCACGTATAAAATTTTACCAGTAGAAAAGCTGCCTTTTCAAATATACCAAATACGTCAAAAATATCTAAAAAATTTTGCCCGAATGTTCTATTAGAGTTTTGAGCAAATTCCTTTACGATCCCTATTATGTACCACTATCCTGTTCATGACAGGATATATATATATATAAAGCCCAGATTTGCATGCTACAAAAGAAAATGGAATTACTAGGTAATAAAACAATCATATACGTGTGTTTGTTTGTTCAGCTGATAGACACCTTATGTACACAAGGTGCTAACACCCGGTAGACACTTTATGCACACAAAAGACTAAACCGTTAGGACAGAGACTCTCAAGAAAGACAATCAATCGACGACGCCCGTAATTTAAAGCGGCCATTCTTAACGAAATAGCGGGGTTGACTGAAATTCTTATAACCTACCTACAGCTTAAAGTGCAATACGTATTTGGTAGCACCTCGTCTGGAACCTAAACCATCTGATTTCCTAATACTATATGGCACGCAGTCTGTGAAAAATGCATCGAAAAGGCTTATCAAGCTCAAAAGTTTGAAAGTAACTGTGACTCAAGGGACCGGAAACTTAAGACAATCAGATGAATAGGGTTTTTCCTATTATATTAAACAAATATAGTGAATGTACTCAAATGTCATTATTCATCGGAAAATAGTGAATCAAATATTAATTATTAAATACAAATAAGACTTGCATCTTGAAACAAACAAACAATAAATTAAAACCTAAAACGTCGAGATATAGGCATAATAGGAGTTCACCATACCAGATAATAATAAAAGCGTAAAAAACGATGAATATTATCTCCAGAATTTCCATAATATCATAGAAAATGGGATCATTTGCTACAGTGTGATCGCGATTCAGAATCTCTCAGAATAGCATATATGTACGAAAACCGTATATCTCTGAATCTTATAGTAAAATAGTGAATATACAACTTAAAATGTGCTATTTTTGAATACTATTATGGATTCATAAAAAATATAGTTCAGTTACGATTAAAACAAAAATAAAAACAGTTTAAATTTACTTAAAGTTACATCAAGAATTCTTTATAACCTCAATACAATATTTAATTGTTAACGAGCATGTCGATGTGTAAAAAAAAACATTCATATTTAAGAAAGACTAATTATTATAATCTGTACGTTTGTAGATCGAATTAAAAAGGAAAACTAACCTACTTTAGTCTCTTATCAAATCTGAGAAGTGTTAAGTTTTCTTAACTGAAGCATTAAAATGCTAATAGAGAAAGTAATTCAATATTTGAATATTCAATATTCTTTTACCTGAGTTTGAAGATTAAAATTTGAATATGATCAGATACAAAATGCTTCAATATCGTCATACAGTTCAATATCTATATCAGTATTTTATACTTGACAAATGCTAAAGCAAATTAATTATGATAGTCCAGTACTTTTATTGTTTACGTCTTCAAGTACAGTTGAAATCTATTATTTCACAAGATCTGAAACTAATGAACAAGTTTATGTGTGATAATTTTACGATATCGCTCGCTAAAGATATATATAATCTTTGACACATTAATGAAATATAGAATATTCTTAGAAGTGGGTTCTCGAAAATAAACCGTAATGGCAGCTTACACGGAAAGAAACGCTTAAAACTTAATAAAGATGGCAAAAGTACGTTACTATAACCAGTAACAAACAGTCAATTACTTAAATTATCAAAAAGTAAACGGTGGCAAAACCAAAACTTTTTATCAAAATAATTTAATTTACCCATGTAAGCCATCTATTAGCTAAAAACGCTAACCACACTTATAAAGCTAAACTA